CATTGGCGATTCTCGGGACGTAAGGACACGGAATCAGGTTGGCGAGAGTACGAAGAGAGGACTCGAAACCGTTTCGGCCATTGAACGTGTTCCTTTTTCAGGTTGGGAAAAAGCGGAAAGTACTATCATCTCGTGGATTTCCCTTCTTCCATTCTTCCCTCGAGATGAATGAAGGTCGAACTTATTATACCGCAGATTGAAAACCGACGCGCCGAATTAACCGTGAAACATTAATCTACATGGCGATTTTAACTCCCGGTAGTAACTTCGATGAACTCTGGATGTAATTACGACGTCGGAATCTCGCTGCCGACTTTCCGTTGAATAATGTCTGAAGAGCCGGAGCACGTAACTCAGTTCATATAAAAACGAGCGCACGTGGAAGAATTTTCGCTTAATATCGTATCATATTCGCACGCTATTACGTCGTTACGTCAATTAAAAAACTCTCTCAATGCTACAAACGCTCGCGTAAACTTAAGGTTCCTATTGTTACCGCCATTTTTGCCACGCAATTTAACGCTTACCGTGACTGTCCGATCATTAGATCAAACGTAAGAATAACAGGATAAAACGTTAAGGGAAGCATAATATTTCTCGCTGCATTTATCAGCTGAAACTTAAAAATAGATTTACGTCAGTTGGAGTGATAATAAGTTGCACTGGTATGGGCGGGCTAATAATTCGCGTATCTCGCAGGTGCAAAACTAGCAACGTAGCTTGCGTAGTCATGATTTCTCTAGCTCGCCATTAACAATCGAGCAAGTGTATGTACATGCGGGGAAACTTGGTGTTAATATTATACCATGCCACGGACATAGGACTTCATTGTAAAGTCTATTCGCTATATTTGCCAACAAGTTACGCGAGGGAAGGTTTCTAATGTGGCGACTTGATTTTGCTCGTTCTGTGGATAATGCGTGATATCTCTCTTCATGCACGAGCGGGAGAAACTCAATTAGACCTGAGAAGATGAATTCACGATCGCGATTAGATAACCGACAATTGTTCTCGTCAATGCTTCAGACACGTGTCAGATGTAATAATCAAATATTAAATATCAAAATTAACATCGTTATTCGGCTAAATCTCGAGATGCCTATAGAAGCATTCGAGAACTCTCTCATAGCTTGAAATATTACGGTATTCCCCGTACGTGTTCTATTCGAAATTCCATTTTCGTTTGAAATTGCAGACGAGGCGAAGATGTTTGAACTTTTTGAGAAAGATCTGAATTGACATTCCGCGGCAGTCTAAAGGCATACAGGGAATAACGATTACGGAATTCTTCAGCACCAATAATCCGTCAGCGTGGAGGCGCTTCGTAATACGTTGAAGCATCCGTAATATTATTCGAAATAAATAAATTAAATATGTTTCATAATTTCCTTTCTGTCTAATCGCGCGCGTAGTAGTGTACTATATAAATATTCGCGCAAGCTGAATTGCAGGACAGAAAGCAAGAGCAATGCATGCGTCGCTTGATTAGATAGGATGCAACGATTCGAGAAATGCGCAAAGTGGATAGCGGTTGTTACTGGTCGGGTAAGTTTCCGCGTCGTCGTGGGAACTCCACGAGACGGAAAACGAGTAAAGTAATTGCGAATCGATACCAGCGGCTCTCTAAACTACTCGAAAGTTGAAAGAGATCTAATGCCACGCTGTCTGGCTCCCAAGATAGCCGTGGTACTCGCGCCGGCACTTGGCGCTCGTCGATTGAATCAGTCAATTTCGCAAACTGCCCAAACATCCATCTCACGCCCGTCAAACGCGTTAAGTGATTTAAATTAGGAGTTAAGTAAGAAGAGTTTTTTTTAAACATTACTTAACCGTTCCTTAACTATTTGTATTCTTACACGCTATTAAATATGACAGGTAAATCACGCCAATTCGGAACAATGTAAACTGGGAGTGCTTTGAACGTTGCCTCACGAATTTTTCGGATAAAGCCGTAAAGTCGACATTGAGCCACTCGAACGACGTGTCATCCTCGCGTCGTCGCGAACGATGTTCGATCCCGCGGGTGAGACGAAATTCCTTTGAAGGAAGTCGCAGACTCGTAACGGCAAACATGCTCGAGACGTGTACGATTTCGCCGACCCGAATCTCTTACACCTCGCGGGTACATAGCGCGCCGGAATTGAAAGTGTAGGAAACACGGAGATCCCGGAGTCCCGGTAAATCTCTCGAGGAATTCAGTGTCGGTTCGGGAAAGGGGCGGGATGCGCGCGGGGGTTGGGCGAGATAGCGGGAAATCGGTAGGGGGTCAGGGGCGTTCTAATCGGCTTGTACGTGTACTTCCGCGCACAAATAGCTAAGCTCGTTGTGGAAGACGGTTAAGCTTGGGAGATGTTTTCATCGAAGGTGGTTAAATTCCGGGAAAATCCCGTAGAGACGGAAATGAAATTATCAACGCGGCGGCAAAGTTGAATAGAAAAACTTAAGATGTTACCGCCCCATTGGAGAACACGTTAGTTTATCGATGGTATCGTTTCGTTTCACTTTATCACGCTCTAACATTGTTTCATTCAGCTACATGTAACGTTACTTTTAATTCACCCTGTAATCGAACATATGGGAATTCGAGCAATGTGTAACACATCCGGTTAATTCTGTCAATCAATTTCATGTGTCCGCTGACGTTATTTAATATGTATAAAATCAAAGCATACTAATTCTCCACAAGATTAGTAATTATATTGCATATACATACAGTTAAATTTATAATAGCTAATTAATATAACTCCTTCTCTGTTCTGTCTGTTTCCGTCTTAAAACGGATATCATTTTATAATTTTAACAGCTATCGATATTACAAATAAATGACATAATAAAATTTTAATTTAATTAATCAAATATAATTTCTAAAACGTTTTATTTTATTAACTATTATTTTATTAATTATTATAATTGCTTTTTAATACTTACGAATTATTTTATCGACTATTTCAATTAATTAAATGTTGTAAAAAAACTTATTAACGTGAAAAATTTCTATTATTCATTGCTTTTTGATCGCATCTCTTTTTGTTAGTTGGCAACGTTGTTAACTGAAGGTCTTAAATAATCGCAGCAATTTATTTTGAATTATGAACAACTGAGATTTACTAAAAAACTGTCTACGGAGATGAAACATAAAATATTTCTCATGAACACGACAAATGTTTGCAGATGGTGAATTTTGGCGACGATCTCGCAGAACGTCACGTATCATAGTAGCGAACTGCGGTGACGACTCACGTGCCACGATAATCAGTCAAGGAAATATTCTGACGTCGCGAAACGCACATTTATGATACGTAATTTTTCTTGCGTTGCTGGTACCGTTTCTAATTTAACATAATCATTCCTATTCGTAATCGTTCCCGAGGATCGCTTTTTGCTGACAACTCGTCATCCACTTGTTATTTCCATTAAATTGTGAGAGATACAAATCGAGTGCGTCATCGCTCCTTTTTAAATAATTAATGAATCATTGTTGGCATATCTTGGCAATGCGTACGAAAATCTGAAGCGTATTGAAAATATCGATTGTGGCACAATATGCAATCTTAAGAAGGAAAGATATTGAAAGAAAGACTTTGACAAGAATTGGAGAGAGACCATAAGACGTAAATCATAGAAAAATATATTTAAAAAAAATATATATAATATTATTAATAAATATATAAAATATTCAGATAAACAGAAAATATATTTATCCCATTTTTTATTAATTATAAAATTTATATTAAGTTCATTTATGTTAAAAATAATAATATTTAACAATTTTTAAACATTCTTTGACTTTATATTCTCAATAATATCTCAAATGGGAAAGGAATTTTAAAATGAATTAACGTCTAGAGTTCCTAAGAGAATTTTAATCTGTCGTGTACATCCTTAAATGGGAAGTGCCCTGTCTAAACTGGATTGGCTTGCATTTTCGAATCATTTAAACGGATTTATTATACGAATTAATTAAATTAATTAAAACTATGAAACTGGCTTGCCGAAATAAAAGGCTATTCTTTTCTGAAGAAAGACGAGCTAAACTTTCATAACATCTTTTAAATTAGGCATAATTCTATGCGAAAGCAAATCAAAGAAATATCAAATATTTGATATATTGCTCTCCGCGGATTCTAGTAAAAGATAATTGTACATTTTCAGTTCAAATTTCAAAGAACCTGAAAATCGGCTTTGTGCCAAGGAAAATTTCGTACTAGACTTAAATGTCTGATGTTTAAATTACGCGTAACGCCCGCCTGCAATCCTTTTAGCACATAGAATAGCAGAGATTGTATAAAAAAAAAAAAAATTCTCTTTAAACAGAGAATATTTTCTCTTTAACTTATTTCTGACTTTTATAGAACAAACTATTTACGATCGAAAAATTCAAAGAGACTTGACAATATAATTTCCATTTAATCAGTTAAATAATCGTAGATTCGTTCGAGTCAAACGATGGAGTTATGAATATGCATTTTCGCTGTATATTATTTGGAGTAAAAAAAAATATTCTCTTGACAAATTAGTACGCATTATTTCTTTTCTAACTTCGTATCAAAAAAACGAGAATCCTATACCATTTTCATTTATTTATGGCTAAAACGTACAGAGCCATTAGCGCAATTCTGTGTCTAAAATAACGCACGTTAAACGTCTATTGTAGTGGACGTTAAACGAAATTTTACAAATGTTCTACATACCGATAAGTGTAGAGAAATTCGAGCAACTCGTCATGCTTTCAACTTCCTCGCACAATGTTCCGTATTTATATTGTAAAATATATATATAGAAATAATAATTTAAATTGTTAAATTAATGCAGCTATACTGATTTCAATAAAATAATAAAAATAACTTTAAAAAAGATAAAATAAGATTTTCGCTAATTTTCTGTTTCATCTAATTATCACATGCACATATATTTAATATATTATATGTGTAATCATTATAAATATTTGAATTAGTAATATTATTATTATTACAAAATAGCAAACATTTATCATAACTTACCATAGTCGTCTTCGTAGATAATCGCCACCTTGGTCCAATTGAGGAACTCCATGATGTCCTGATAAGCAGCATTGAGCAGACTTTGTGCGGGATAAAGATTAATGCTGAATTCTTTCGCTTCCGTCTCCAGGTCCAGCCTGGCCTCGAGATGTGGAATATCGAGGGCGTCGCAGATACTATGAATGTGCTGGCCCAGAATCGGGTCCGAAGGTCCGAAGACTGCCTGAACACCGTGCTTAACCTGCTGACATGCTGCAACAAAAAGTAGCATACGCATTTTAGCATAGATAGCTTCTTTGGCAAATACGTAAGGGCAAGTAAAATGGTAGTAGCGTGTGATAATTTGACAGCGGATTTGATCAAGTATAGCTTGTCGTTAATTGCATTCGCGGTAAAGAATAATAACTCAGCTTGCAACAGATTTTCAGAATGATTTTAATTATCCGAAGGAAAATCGCGAGTACGATGTTGCTATATCGTTTGTTATTAGTTTAATCAAGCATATTTTTTTTCTTTCTCTTTTTCTGTTGCAATTAACGTTTCTCCATCTAACTTCCCGTTTTCACAGCGAGAGAGAAGAAAGCGATTAACTCGAAAATACGAGTTTTCCTCGTACCGTTAATGCCGACATAATGATGCTGTGTCACGGTCGATAATCTACCCGGCACGGCCAAGAAAACCGCCGTAAACTGAGGGTAACGCCGCATTAACGCTACACTACATATAGGACACGATCGTACCATTCTCTCTCTCTCTCTCTCTCTCTCACACACCGCTTCGAGGCTATTGCGCGAGCATAAGGGTTGTTGTACGTGCAGAATGACCGAACCTGGAGCGTACTGGCACACCCGCCGGGTTATCTCCCGCAAGTTCCAAGTGTTGCCGCACGTCCGACCAACATTAGACAACCGACCGACCCCGCAGCATCGCCTCTGCCCGTCCGCAGGAACAAGCTCGCCTGACCGCCGTCTCTGTCTTTACGCCGCCAAGTTAATTTATGTAGTCGCGCGCGGACGGAAATCGATTTTCAGAACATGCCGTACTCCGAGAAAGTTGCGCGTCCGGGCAACAACAAGACGGCGTTAGTTAGATCAAGTGCCACGAATAGCGAGAGTCTCAGTAAACGCGAACGGTGTTGCGGAGTTACGATGCGTGGTGCAACGTGACAATTGTTATGCGAGAAGCTACGAGGGGATTACGACGTAGCGGATAAAAACGGATATGCGCAATCAGCGCGTAAATGTGCAAGTGTTAAATTGACACGTGACAAATATATATATCCTTGTATATTCGCTGATACGAAAGCAAAACACAGTAGTGAATCATTTAAGTATAAAGTATTTAAATTACAAAACGATTTTTACGATATGGATTTTTTGATATTCATTTTTACAGTAATAAACGGATATTTACGGAAAAGGCTTAGTATAGTTGTATCTTTCCGGACTTCAAAAAAGTCTGTTGGATCTTTTCATGTCGGATGACGAAGCCGTCCCGTCCAGTTACCTTCGATTATCAGAAGGGAACAGCGGAAAAGATCAACGGGAATCTGGAAGCCGGCGAGTAATGGCTTCTTGTGCAGCGAGATAATGGGTTTTCGAGGTTCCATTATCATTCCACGCTACGGCGGTGGCTATCGCCGTCATTATACGCGGATTACAACAATCCGGACAGTTCCTATCTTTATAGCGTACTGTTTTTAATGGCACGACCGGATCAGTGGTAATACAGAGCCGCGGAAAAGATGCGAAACGCGATTGAGACAATAAAATTTTATACGATTAGCAGTATTATCTCAATATCAAATTAATCAGATTGTAAAACTGATTACCACTCGATCGAGAAAGTCGCATTTCAAAAGATACCAGACAAATTATTTCTTTTTTCGATGTAAAATCTTAATAAATCGTTCGATCAATTTAGCTGGAAAACGAGCGCAATGTAATGATCATTGCAAATTGCAAATTTTGGAATTATCAAAAGGAGAATATTTTACATATAAATGCATTTATTTAATTTATAACATACTCGATATATTGATTTAATATTGCGGCACTTCTGTGTTTTGAATACGGCTTATTACATTGCCACAATCTGTTCGGCATTAAATTTGCACAGATTATTAAGCTATAGAGAAGCCGGCGGAGGTAAATGGCCGAAGTCAAAATAAACTTTTAGCTGACTCGTGCTGAGGCTCAAAGCGCAAAGCGTGGAAAAATCAAGTTGGCTGTAAACGAGTCTCTCTCCAAAGTAAACGAGGTTTAATTCGTTGCTTAATGGGGTGATCGTTAGCCCCTGGCAAACGTGCCTGTACTCTCTCTCTCTCT